TCTGGCTCTCAGGTGCTTAACTGACAGCTTCACTTCCATCTTAACGCTTTCTCGGTTATTGGGCATGATGGTGTCCTCTTTTGGCATTACCCCATGGTCCCGTTTACATAGCAGGGACCTCCAGTGACTGCTACTCCCCTTCCAAAAGTTGTTTCAGGACACGTCTCCTCGTTGACTTCATCTGCCTCCTCATGTCCTCAACTCCCTTCGATGGTGGACCTTGGCTGCTTTGTCCCGCGGCTCCTTCTTCCGGGAGCCTCATCGGGTTCAGTTAACCACAGATGCCAGTCTCTCGGGCTGGGGGGCCCATCTCCTTCATCACATGATTCAAGGCTGTTGGTCAGTCTTGGAATCCCATCTCAACATAAACCTGTTGGAGCTCCGCGCGATCCGGCTTGCTCTACTTCACTTCCAGGACCTTCTGGAAGGAAAGGATGTGCTCGTCTTGACGGACAACACTACCGCCAAAGCCCATGTGAACAAATTGGGGGGCACCCGCTCACGCGCCTTGATGGCCGAAGCTCGCCTCCTGGGCCTATGGGCCGAGATTCACCTGTCATCGCTTCGGGCAGACCACATCTCTGTGCAGCGAATGTCCAGGCAGATGCCCTTAGCCGGAATCAGGTGGATCACGGGGAATGGTCAATTCTCACCACCCTATTTCGGGAGATTTCGGCCAGATTCAGAACCCCTCTCGTAGACTTGTTCGCTTCCAGGATGAACCACCAACTGCCCCGCTATTTCTCAAGATTTCTGGACTTTCAGGCGGAAGCCACGGATGCCCTCCACAGCCGATGGCCCCCAGGCCTCCTTTACGCTTTCCCGCCCCTGCCAATAATTCCCAAAGTGTTCCGAAAACTACTTCAGGAACGAGCTCAACTGCTTTTGATCGCCCCATATTGGACAATGCGCCCATGGTTCGCGGACTTGATGACCCTATCGGTCGCTCCGCCGTGGAAAATTCCCACCTCCAATTGTCTCAAGGGGCTCTCTACCATCCGGATCATGCCTGGCTTCGCTTAACCGTATGGCGGTTGAGCGGAGCATCCTGACTGCAGCCAAGGTACCGCCCCCGATCATCTCAACCATCCAGGCTGCCCGCTGCCCTTCTACAATTCGCATATATGACGCCACATGGCGCTCCTTTGCTTCCTGGTGTACCTCAGTTTCCGTTTCTCCAACAGCGGCCTCCATCTTGCACATACTGTCCTTCCTTCAATGTGGCCTTGACAACGGTCTCGCCCCCAACATGCTGCGCCATCAGGTAGCCGCCTTGGCATCTGTCCTGTCCTGTGGCTTGACTGACTCCATCTCTTGCCATCCTATCATCCACGACTTCCTAAGGGGCGCCACTAATTTACGTCACCCCACCATTCACCGTTACCCTTCCTGGAACTTAAACAAGGTTCTTATCGCTCTTATGTCTCCTCCGTTCGAGCCTCTCTGTTCTGTCTCCCTCCGGTTTCTTTCTTTGAAGGTATCCTTCCTGGTGGCGATTACCTCCGCTCGCCGCATTTCGGAGCTAGTGGCATTATCCATTCGTGCGGACCTATGTATTTTTCATCGGGACAGAGTGGTGCTTCGCCTGGACCCGGCCTTTCTAACCAAGGTGAACTCACCCTTCCACAGAGCGCAGGAACTCATCCTCCCGGACTTTTGTCCTCATCCCTCACATCGCCTGGAACGGTCTTGGCACACCCTCGATGTTCAGAGGGCACTGAAAATTTATATCGCCCGGACAGCAGCACATCGCAAGTCGGAGGCACTCTTTGTTGCCTTTCATCCATCGTCTATCGGGTCCCGAGTTTCGGCTTCTACCCTGGGGCGATGGATAAGGGCCACTATCGCCTTGGCCTACCGCCATTCGGACTTGGTTCCACCACACAGAATCATGGCCCACTCGACCAGGAGCGCAGTGACATCGGCCGCCTGGTCGACACAGGCATCTCTGGAAGAGATCTGTCGGGCTGCCACCTGGACCTCTCTCAGCCCTTTCATCAGGCACTATAGAGTGGACTCATTTGCTTCGTCCGATGCTGCGTTTGGCAGACAAGTTCTCCAGGCTGTCCACCTCACCTGAAATCCACCGGAGCCGTCTTGCCCACCCAGGTGACATCAAGCTTTGGTATGTCCCCAGCCTGACTGATGCTTTCTGGTAAGCTGGAGAATGGACGTTGGACTTACCTGATACGTCCGATCTCAGCATGTAGAAAGCGTCAGTCAGCCCCACCCTTCTCTCTCCAGTCCGGTGGTGGTTTGGCGGGGGGGGGGGTTGGATAGTAATTCTTTCTCATTACAGGAAGACATGTCTCACGAGTCTGCACTTCGCCCTCGACGAAGAACTGGGGCTACCGGAAGGGCGGACCCTTTAATTATTGCAAGACTCGGTCATACGCTAGACGAGGCGTATCCCCAGCCTGACTGACGCTTTCTACATGCTGAGAACGGACGTATCAGGTAAGTCCAACGTCCAGTCTAAAGAAAACCAAGGACAGATTGTCCATCACTAATTATTTTGTTAGTTATAAAGAAAGGCTTCCTGTTCTCTCAGAAATGCTTTAACAACAGTTATTTGTTCAACAAAATTAATAAATTATTCATCAGATTCTGGTTATTTATAATTACTCAAATATTTGTGCCAATGAACTGCTTTCTTTCTCAGGACATACCATCAGTCATATCTCAAATAAACTTATCAAAATAAGTACTGCTTAAATTACTTAATGGCTAATCTTTAATTTACTTTAAACATTTTGTAGGACTGGATAAATATTAAACTTAAATCAGATGCTCAAGCATGTACCTTGTGATTCTGTTTAAGGGACTTACTGGGAAATTTCATTGATGATAGAGGTCACACTACCAACATTGACAGGGCAGGCCACTGTATATAAACAGAGAGCAAACTCCCTTCTAGCACTAATGAGATTACATAGTTAGGTAATGAAGCATCTGCAAAAAAAACAAAACAAAAAAACAACCAAGTTCAGAGAGCATCAAAGACTCTAATAAGTCAGTGTTTTCCATTCAGCAACTCTCTCTATTTCATTTATTTAAAGGAAAATGTACAGGTGGCTCATTGCAATCTTTTAGTTTTCCAGTCCTTCTAAAGAGCATTTCATCAATTTAAGTATATTGCCATTTGTACCTAGCCTTTTACAGTTGGAGTAATCAAGAAAAAAAATATTTGAGGATCGCAACTACTGTACATATAGTTATACCTAAAATATAAATAAATCTATGCTTGTAGGGCAAGTTTTTTTGTTCTGTCACTGCATTCTGTGTAGCTTAAGGTATATCTTTATTCAGGCCCACGTTGAATTGACTCAGCAGTGAAAAGCTCACCAGAATTCAGATTCAGAGAGCTTTTAACTTCATGTCCATTTATTATTTATTTATTTATTTATTGGTTCGATTTATATGCTGCCCTTTTCTGGAGACTCAGGGTGGCTTACAATGCATTAAGCAATAGCCTTCATATTTTTGTATATACCTGCTTAGTAGGGCTTCCCCCCCACCCCAGAGGTATTCTTTTTTATACAAAGTCAGCTTATTGCCCCCACAAACCGGATCCTCATTTTACCTACCTCGAAAGGATGGAAGGCTGAGTCAACCTTGAGCCTGGTGAGATTTGAACTTGCAGTAATTGCAGGCAGCTGGTGTTACTTAACAGTGCTTTAGTCTGCTGTGCCACCAAGGCTCCATGAACTTAAAAAACAAAATAAATCAAAACAAAACAAAATAAAACAAAACAAAACAAAACAAAACAAAAACAGACACCCCCCCCCCCCACAACCAGGCCAGTGTTATTTTTTGCATGCGCATATACTGACGCACACAAACAGTTCACAAAGCCAATTCAATTCAGTAGAGCACTGACAACAAAAATGTAAAATAAAACTTGTGGTGCTCCTGTTCATCACATGTTTTTCAGCTCAGTTCTATTTTTTGTCACTAATGGAATGACTGCATCAAACCTTTTTTCGTTTTTGTTTTAAAAGAACAATCTTTACATAAAAGAGGTTTTTCCACTTTTGCTTTAAATATGTGGCTTAACATTTTGGGTCTTATTCTAGTTTATTGCTTTTTTTTCTACTATACTTTTTACCAACCTAAAACAATATATTATACAAAAAGATTACTGTTTCCTTACATTGTGAATCTGGGTATACTGAAAATATCAATAGAACCTTACTGAGCATTGTAAAAAATGCATATTATATTTTTAATGATAAATGACTAGTTCAGTCGTGAATCTGCTGAGCAATTAAACTCTGTTTGCTTAGTATTTATTTAGATATCTTCACATAAAGAATGGGTTTTATTGTTTCTGCCTCACAATGCAATTATTCATGTATACACTTTCATGAATGTAGACCTTATAAATGTGAGTCTAATCTATATAAAATACAAACAAATGAAGCAGATCTCCCAGCTTTTTAACAAGCAATCTAGGCAACCATAAAGATAAGTGAATGTGCTTTTTCAAATATAATTATTTCTCCTTCATGTTAAAAATTCACTTGCAGGCAACTTACATCATTCTTCTTGTTTGTTTACCCCATTAATAATTTTATTATTTAGAGGAATCACCTTTTTCTGTGAATGTAATGAATGCTTCAAAAGAAAGGCAAACTTGGGTTCTATTGTTTCAAAGTATAAATTATAAGTAGTGAAATAAAGTGAAATAAAGTGAGGTTTATGGATATTTCAGATATACAGTTTAAGCTCCCCCAAAAGCATAGTTCAGCTCTCCCATTTTTTTCCAACTTGCTTTGTTTGAGAACAGAATAGACAGTTGCTGTGTCAAAAAGGCTGAAGAAAGTGGAAAAGTTAAATTTCTATTTGATACTTTAGGATATCATATCAACCTTGTAGAAAGCTCTAGATGAACTGTACCATACAATCAATTCATATATCCAAATTTCAAGCTTTCCATTTTCCTCTGAGAACCACTGCATATATATATTCCAGATCAACTTTTTTTTTTAAAAATTATCAGATCTTGGATAGGTTACATGAATCATTCAGTCCTATAGAATGTGTACACTGCTAGTTTATACATCTGTAAAAAATGATAACCTATATAACCTTGGGGTTATGAATATACCTCCAGTAGCATGAACGGTTTATATGTGGTGATAAAAATGGATGAGATGATGGTATTGTATATTTAAAGTACTGAGAATACACTTATTTTACCATCCACTTCCATCAAAGTAAGAAAAAAAAAAAACCCTTGAAAAACATTGTTTCAAATGATAAAACAGATGAGACAACAAATGGATTTTTTTTTAAAAAAATCTACTCTTTCAAAGTGGTTAATGCAAAAAAAAAAAAGACTGCTACTTCCATCCTTGCCTTTTTCATGTGTACATCATGTAATCAGTATTAGAAATCCATCCCTTAATAGAGTGTTTAAAAGTTGAATGACATATGGAAGAATTGGTACTTGAATATAATACTGTATAACAAGTGAAATGATTTAATATATTTTTTTCTGTTAAAACTCATGCACAATTCTTTTAAGTTTCTATTGTTGCCATGTTATGGTAGAAAGCAGGACCCTATTTGCATTGACTGAAGGCAGGCTATAGGCAACACTATCACATGTGCACCTTGAAACAAGCTTAGGCAAGGCAATTATGAGAAGAAGCTGCCAAGGAAGAAGACAAGGGTTGTTTCTATGAAAGGAATATTGACAGTGTGATAAAGAAAAAAATGAATCCAGCACTGAAGAACAAAGCAATTGGCAGGTATATTTTTCTGTCTAAACCTTGACAAAAGGAAACTTGTTTTTTTTTAAAATGTTTCTTTTTTTGAGTGAAGGACAGCAACTAACTAATTAACTAAACTCTCAGCTATTGAACTATGCAACGGACGCTGAAAGAATACTTTTCCAGATAGAAAAAAAATCCTGATTCAAAACATCTAATTTAAAAAGCTTGTCCATTTTTCCTTTTTTCAGATATTTTAATTTATTGTACAAAAACCTCTTATAAAGAGGTAATCAACAAACATAATTCATTCATCAAAATCATTGCATTCCCTTCCCATTGTGCTAGAATAGCTACCCTTTTAGTACAAGCTCTGTTTTGATTTTATTGTTGCTATTGTCTCCTATATAGAAATCTTATTTCATATATTCATTTATTTCAATATTTTTCTTTTGTGAATTTAAATGTATGACCTGCACTTTAAACTACCTGATGGTAGGGGCAGGAAAAGTACACAAACAGTCCTGCAATTTTGAAATGGGCATAGCAAAGAATTCTTCAATTCAAAGATTGTCCTAAGAACTTAATCTCCTGGAACTGTGAATTTCATGAACAAATTGGAAGTGCTATTCTGGAAACAGAAAGATACAATGAATTCGCTCACATTTTCGGTGCTGGGGCGAACCGGTTGCTAAATTATGTGAAGCCCACATTTGCTGCCAACTGCTCCTTTAGCAGAAGGTCTGAATCTAAGAAGACCCCCAGATTGCACATTTATTTATTTATTTATTTATTTATTTATTTATTTATTTATTTATTTATTTATTGGTTCGATTTATATGCCGCCTTTCTCCGGAGACTCAGGGCGGCTTACAATACGTTAAGCAATAGCCTTCATACTTTTTTTTTTTTTATTTACACTTTATTGATTTTTTTTTAAGACAAATAAAATATAATAACAATTTTGTTTGACATCGGATTCGCAGTGTTTATACATATGTACATGAAAAAAATATCTGGTGTCCTTTATACTATACATTTCTAATTGATTTCTGCACCTTTAACTCCTTCCTTGATTCTATCATTTATCCATTCGTACCATCTTCCCCACACAGTATCATGATCTGAATTTTCATCATCACTTATTTCGTGCGTTAATTTACTTGTCTCTGCACACTCTAATATTTTGCTAATTATAAGGTCGTCTGGTGGTAGGTCTTTCTTTTTCCAGTATTGAGCGTATGCCAGTCTGGCAGCTGTAGTTATGTGTATTAGGAGGTGGACCTTTTCCTTTCCATGCCCTTTCTTTGCCATTCCCAGGAGAAATATTTCTGGATTCAAATCAATTTCTTCTTTGAGTATGTCTTTCAACCATCTCCGAATTTTGCTCCAGTATCTTTTTGCTTCGGGGCATGTCCACCACATGTGAAAGAAGGTGCCCTGACCATGACCGCATTTCCAACAATTTGGGTGCACATTGGGGAACATCTTTGATAATCTTGCAGGTGCTAAATGCCACCTATGTAGCATTTTATAATGATTTTCCTTGTACGTGGCTGCTCTAGTTAATTTATAATTTTTATTCCACGCCTCTTCCCATTCATTAAAGTTCAAACTATGCCCAATGTTTCTCTCCCATGCTCTCAATTGGTTTCTGATTGTATCCTCATCTCTGTCTTCATCTAATAAGTAATTATATAGCTTGGCCAGCGCTTTTTTTCCTGGTCCCATCAAGATTTTATCCAATCCGTTATATCCTAATTCTAAGCCAAATTCATCCTTATCTTTCTGGTATCTTGATTTTATTTGCAGGTAAGTCCACCAATCTAAGGTTATACCTTGGTCTCTCAGAGCATCATTTGATTTAAGGTTTCCCCCTCCGTCAACGATATCTTTATATCTGCACAGTTTCTCCATTCCCCACCTATTGGGGTAAATCAATGCCTCTACCGTAGAGAGCCAATTTGGGACTTTTGTATAGTATCTCTGCCTAATCCCCGCCCATGTTTGTATTAAGGAGTCCCTGATTTTATGCCTGTGGAAATAGGTTTTCTTTTTCTTGTCTTTGTCCCATAAATACAAATGCCACCCTCTCTGTAAATCGTGGCCTTCTAACATTAGGATTCTCTTGTTCTCCAAAGTGATCCATTCCCTTATCCATATCAACTTTGCTGTTCTGTAATACATTTCCCAATTCGGGAGACCAAATCCTCCCACATTCCTTTTTTCCTGTAGGATTTTGAGTGAGATCCTCGATTTTTTTCCCTCCCAAACGAATTCCCTAATAATCTTATTTAATTCTAGGAAAAAAATTTTCTCTAAAATCACTGGTAGATTTTGGTATAAAAATAGGATCTTGGGGAGGATGTTCATCTTAATTGCCGCAATTTTGCCTATAAGCCTTCATACTTTTGTATATACCTGCTTAGTAAGGTTTTCGGGCCCCCCAAGCGGTGTTCTTTTTTATAAAAAGTCAGCTTATTGCCCCCACAATCCGGGTTCTCATTTTACCTACTTCGAAAGGATGGAAGGCTGAGTCAACCTTGAGCCTGGTGAGATTTGAACTCGCAGTAATTGCAGGCAGCTGGTGCTACTTAACAGCACTTAACAGCATTTAACACCACATTGGGTCTGCCAGAGTAGTATAGCCTCATCCAGCACAGTAGTGGGTTTCACTTATCTTTGCTAGTGGTTTGGAACTGTGAGTGTATGTGTGCAGTGCTTCTGCGCATGCAAAGAACCTTCTGCGCATGCACAGAGCCTTCTGCGCATGCACAGAGCATCTATTATGATGTCCAGGTGGGTGGGCGGAGCCTCCCGCTGCTGATACCAGTTTGCCCGAACCCGGGGCGAACTGGTAGAAACCCACCACTGATCCAGCACCAAAGATGGCAATGTCCTAAAGCCAGTGGCTCCTACAATCCAAAGCCACCTAGTCTTGCCAGGGATCAGCTGGATCTTATCTTCATGGCCTCACTTAAAATGCCAGTAGTGGAGATATATAATTGGGTCTAATGAGTTAAACAACATTGTAAGTGAAAAACACTCCACTTAATTTTTGACCAAATCCTATCTTTTAACTGCTCAGGTGATAATAGTCTTTTTTGATCAACTAACAGTGACTTATTAAAAAAAATGATAGTTTGAAGAAAACACATGACGTACAAAGAGGACCTTCCCCAGTGATACATTCTGTATGCATTAATGCTATTACATTAATGCTGTTTTTAAGAACAGACAGAGCTATGCTGTGTATGTCATATTTTAAAGTACTCCTATGCTGGATGCTTTACCAATGGCAAGCATGGAAAATAGCAATGCTTAAGCTCTTTCAAGCCCAGGTAAGAAAAAGGCTGATGCTGTCTTATATATCAACATGAACAACTACTTCTGTCTGTTCTTAATTACAATTAATATGGCAGTATGGCTTTTCAGAAGCTCTTTTCATTTTTCCGCAAAACAATGAACTTCATTCATTGGCCTTAGTCATATTATATAGCAAGAAAAATAATGCATGAATAGCGGTGTGTGGGTGTGGGTGTGGGTGTGTTAGCTTGTTTTTCCAGCAGCTCAGGAGTATCATTCAATGGTTCTGAAAATGAGAACTTTATGGAAACATTTTGAATTATCCCCATTTAGGTGTTTACTGATCAAAATATTATATATCATCGCCTAATAATATTACGTCAACTCATATACTTTAAAATGCTATCTTTAACTCAGAGACCTGCCAAATTTTTTCTCTGTCCTTGACAGCAGGCCATATCGCATAATGTTCTACTGCCATGAAAAGAATATTGCTGTCCCTGTCAAAGTGAACTAATTAATTGTTACAACATGACAGACGAATGTGAACAGTCAGAGATATTGTCCAGAACTGAAGAGCTTGTATGAGCAGTGAAGCTGATCCAAGGGACAGTAAAGGCCCCAGCTGATTTGGTAATCTGAACAAAGACTCCAATCTTATTATAATAAAAACGGCAATTAAGACCAGCAAAAAATGTCCATACCCCAAAGGCATTGTTTCTATATTAACTAAAGATAACTTTGATCTTTTGATGGACACCACTAATCCTGGAGAAGAAGCTCAGTTGGGCAATCTTGTCTAAGAAATGTTATAAAATGAATATATTTCCCCAGTTAATGAAAAATGTTAGGCCTCCTGTGAGTAGACATACTTCATTTGAAATCTGCTAAAGCTGGAATAAGCAACTAGGATGTAGGGTGGGATGTTGCTGATGACTGATTATTCGGATCTAATAAATTTGTTTTCTACATCTTATGCCTTCAAACCTGTTTCACCTATCAATCCAAATCAAACCTTAGACATTCTACAAAAAGTTGTTTTCTTCTCATTCTCAGATACATTCTGTCTGGTCCTGAATGCTAGATAAGATAGCAACAATCACATCTCCCAAGCTGATTTCAATGATGACCTCATCAAAAATATTCACCTTGTATTTTATCACCTATGAAGAACATCTGAGTAGCTCCAGATTATTATATAAAGGCAACTGAACTGTCTATTCAATAAATTCATGCCACACCCACTGGTCAGTGCAAAACGATATCAAGTTACAGGAGCCCTGGCTCAAGAACCCCAGTATTATAAAATAAATAAATTCTTTTAATGCTGTTTCCAGTGTGCAAAGGTTTGCTCTTCTTGTAAGTTACTCTTAGTTTACTTTTCATCTTGAATCAAGTAGGCTTATTTCTATTACAAAACTGTCACTGAATTCCTTTGTGTGGCATGTATTTGCCAAAAGGCTACAAGAAAAGTAGATGGCTTTCCTTTCTTGTTCTCATAACTATGAGACTATTTCCTGATACATTTTTAAGTTAGGTATTTATTTTGGGAATAGAATATGCTGAATATTCTCATAATTTATTAAGGATATGGATCTCTCTTACATTTCTCATCATACTGATGCATATCTATATCACTGAGCATTTTGTCCTACATTTGTAAATGACAGTTTTACAGAAACAAAATCCTTTTTCGGTATCCAGAATTTATGCTTATAAATAAGCAAAAGCCGGATATGACTTAGCATATGATAGCATTGTTTTGACTTTGGTTGAGTCAGTATTTTCTAAGTTCATAGGCTAAAGGTAGGTATAATTCTTGCCTTTCACCTGGGTTACTTTCCTATTTTATGGTTTGGTGCAATGTTAATGTGCTAGACACAGAGACTTTTGTTTCACAGCTGGCTGCTTTCAAGCTGTGAGGCCACAGTTGCTGTCAAGCTCCAAGCCATGTTTCAAGCTGAGTTATCAAGGTTGGCTGGTTGGCTGCTGACCATTAAGCTAAGCTCCCAAGCTGAGCTCCACATAGAGTTTAAGCAGATTTGTTACTGTTTCCAGTGACTTTTGTTCCTAAGGCTATGATGTTCAAGACTTTTGATTTTGTAGCTACAGTATAGTAGCTGTTCCTGCTTTAGTTGCTGTAACATCATTTTCCATTTTCTTGTTTCAGTGCCATTTTCCTGCTTTCCCATTCTCTCAGCAGACTGAGAGGATTGGGCTGTCCTTTCGTTGGGTTTTCTGGCACAGCCAGAATACCGTTCAAGTAGTGCTAGAGATGGGAAATAAGACAAATTGGTCATTATTTTTTAATCCTGATTTTGGGAAAGGCAGAGAGAGATTGTTTGTTTCAGATTTTCTAGCAGCAGATGTTATGGTCAGGCAAATTCCTAATAACCGAAAAGTAGTTAACAAGCAATTTCTGAAAGTTATCAGAAAAGGGAGTAAGTGAACCCAGTAAAGTCAGAGTCTTTATAGGCTCTGACTATGGGTTGAGCAAGACAGTTATTATCTTTTCTCCCAGAGCTTTGAATCCACCAGAGACTGTTGTCTTTCAGTCTCATGAGGAGCAACTCTATTGCTAAAGCAATCTCACGTTCTCTCCTTGTCCAGAGAGAAATTATGAAGAGAGAGTTTATTCACCAGCTCTTCATTCTTTTTTTATTTTATTTTATTTTATTGTTTTTTTAAAAAAAATTGATTTATATGCCGCCCTTCTCCGGAGACTCAGGGCGGCTTACAATGTGCTCAGCAATAGCCTTCATCCTTTTGTATATTTATACAAAGTCAGCTTATTGCCCCCACAACTGGGTCCTCAATTTACCTACCTTAGAAAGGATGGAAGGCTGAGTCAACCTTGAGCCTTGGCGAGATTCAAACCTGCAGTAATTGCAGGCAGCTGGTCTTAATAACCAGCTTAATAACAGGGTGCCTTAGACTACTGTACTACCAAGGCTCTTTGCAGTCTGTTGCATTCTGCCATTTCTTCTCTGGAAATTGTGTTTTATATACACTAATATATAAATATGTGTTGGGCAATACACCTGTGGTCATTCTGTTTCTCTGTTTAGGTCTGCCTGCCTATTCTTTCATATGGTAGTTTGAGGTACAGAGTTTAGTTGCCCAAGAAAGTCATGAAAAAGAGCAGATACATATGTGTGAGTGACAGAGGGGGGGGGGAGAGAGAATATTCATACACACTTGAATTTAAGTAAAAAAAGCTCTGGCTGCTTTGATCTGTCTGATTTATCATGCAGAAGTAAAAGAAAAAGCTTATGAATTCTTTAGGTGAAAGTCTATGTAAAGAGGAAACTGTTTCATATATCCTAGCAATGCAGTCAACCATTAGTAAGTATATTATGGAATGAAATCCCTATCTGGGATGAGGGCAGCATAGACCTGAAGGTGGAAACATTAAGCTAATTAGCACTGTGAATTCTTGAAGGAGAACTCATTATCATATTTCAGTGTGCAACAGAGCATTGAATTAAACTACATTTGCATTATTTTTCTTTCTTACCTCTTTTACCTTAAGTCAGTGTATTTCTTTTTTTATTAATGGGAGAACTATGCCATGGTTTGGTACATATACAATTAGACAAGATAAGAATTATTTGTAAACTCATGCTTAGGAGTGAAGTACAGAAAATGCTGATTCATGTCCTATCAATATACAGTACATACCAGCTGGTACATAGAAAGAGATAGCTCTTACAATTGGGATTTTTCCCCCCTTATGACAACCACAATTTAGATATCTGAATATCTGCGGAGGAGGACAACTAAAATAATAATTTGTAAGGAAAGTCATACATGGAATAGCTAGGACATTGAGTATGTTTAATTTCATCTAATCTCTTGCTCCATCCCTGACCGGCAGCAGCCATTTACTTGCCTGTGCTTCTAGAGCTTTCAACTTTCTGCCGGTTTCCTACTGACTTTTGTTATGGGATGCTATCAGAAAGTGCTTGCCTAACAACTATGGGATTCAGTTAACAACAGCCATCCAGACTGCATTTATACACTATTCAAAAGAGACAATAAAAAGGAAAGGAAAGGAAAGGAAAGGAAAGGAAGGAAGGAAGGAAGGAAGGAAGGAAGGAAGGAAGGAAGGAAGGAAGGAAAGAAAGAAAGAAAGAAAGAAAGAAAGAAAGAAAGAAAGAAAGAACCCAGCACACATCTTCCCCAGTAGCTTATACCCAGATAAATGGGGATTAATATCAGACAAACAATCAAGCAAAACACAATATTCTAATCAAGGAACTACCAAGGAAAACTGCACCCCCATTAACACTGGCAGAGTAAGTTACTGTATGTAAACAAGGAGAAACTGTAAACTCACTAATACTGAGGATGTTACCCCGTAGGGTACCCGGTGTCTGGAGGCAAATTTAGGTCCCAAAGTTGACCGAAAATTATTCAAAATATTCAGAATGTTCCAACTTGGCCTGAATTAATGGCACAGAATGCTCACAGTATCGTGTCCATAAATGATTCATTTTTATTTATTTCTGCAATGGCTACGCTGCTTAATTAAAAGTAATTGAGGCATTTACAGTATTATTAAATTAAAAGACAGATATTAAATGATTATATAAAAGCTATACAGTAATGATATTGGCATTGACTTTCTAAGGCTTGACCCCTGGGGCCTATATGCAAAATTCTTAACAATGATATGAAAGTGATGCCACTGCACTTGGGGACTTAAAAAAGGAATAAGAATAATGTTAATAGTTTACCTCCATTCACAGCCATTGGACCTCCCTAGATTTTCTTTTTTAGATCAGCCAAATTTAGCAGGGTGGTATGTCCAGTTCAATTCCTTATGGATGGATTAACTCCTTCATAATCTCTTCACTGAACGTTAAAATAGTGATCTAATAAAATCAAATAATTTCAAGCAGAAAGCATATGTTAGAAATCATGTTTAATGGCATATGGCTATTGTGTTATTACTGTTATAGGAAAGAAAATACATAGCTGTTTAGCAGAAGAGGGCAGCATTTCAACATTGTTGATAGAGAAAACCTTATTGTTTTTTTTAAAGCAGCAGTCTCTAGAGATCTAATACATACAAAACGATAAACAATCTCTTACACTGCAAAGTAATATACTATTCAGTTAAAACGTAATCATTACTACTTAACCATTATCAACTTCAGCAGACAGCCTACAAACCAAAATCCATATCATATTGTTCAGATGTTTGTGTTATGAATAGAAAACTCTTTAATAATGCAAAATTTAGATGATTTATCGTTGGATTGTATTATCCTAGTTACATTCTGGCATTTGAAATCTGATACTCTTGGAATGAACAGTGAATAAAATGCATTTGTTAAGTTTTGGATTTAAACAAAAACAACAATAATAAGACAAAATCAACAACAAACACATGGCACACACCAAGGCAGGATAAATATTTATTATTTATTTAGTGTATGACATACAATATCAGGGAAATCTACAAATGCTAGACACAATGCAGTCCTGGCAGCCTAAATTGTTAGTTTGTTCTGTTTGGCATTTGCGTGCCTATCTTGGTGCACTGCAGGGGGTGAACTAACTTACACAAGCTGACTAGCAGCACTCAGGTTGCTGGCTCTTCCAAGCTCCTTCACCAGTTTTGCCTCACCTTGCCTTGTGTTGTGTTGCCTCATGTCCAGCCAGGTCCAGCACTAGCTGCTTCTCTCCACACACACGGATGCAGATAGTTTTACCCATTTATCTACTAACAATATTGCATGCTTTCAAACTGCTGGGTGGGCAGGAGCTGGAGAGTGAGCGATGGGAGCTCAACCTGTCTCACAGTACTGGGCTTGAATCACTAGAGTGTAGACCATTTCTGGCCAGCAGTTCCAGCATCATTAAGCCACTGTGCCCTCATGTCCCTAGGATAAATAACAGACATATTCCTAGAAATCAACCTTGGGGAACAGATCACTCCACCCCATATCATTACCGGTAAGAGCGAGTATTTTAATAGCTTTAAATGATTTTATGATTGCCTAATGGGGTCAAAAACATATGGACCTTAGGGGTATTACTGTTCCAGAAAGTAGGTAAGAATAGTGATATGGTAGCAATATATCCTACATACCACAATATGGCAATGCTTTACTGCTTGGACTGAGAATGCAATGACTTGTCCAAATTTGACTGTCAGCAGAAACAACAGAAAAAATATGGCCCTGTGGGTAGTCACATCCTAAGTATGAATGGTTTGCAGGTAACGACACATTGAGTGGTCTGTAATAGCTTTGCAAGCTTTGCCAACTACACTGATAATCAGTATAACTTGCAAAGAAGTGGAGTTACAAGAATGAAATG